CAGGGCTCGATGCAAAGTTGGCATTCGACAAATGTTTGTCACATGAATTAATGAATCAAGTCCTACAGAAACAAAATTACCAACTAAATTCTTTAATTATCACTGAGAACAACTTGAGCCAGAAAATCCTGAGATATGGATTTCATCACATACTTTGGAGCACCCCAACTTAAATTCAGAACCTTAATCCTGATAATAATAAATAACTTGGAAATCAGTCTTCTCATTAAGAAGAAAAATAAAACCACCTAACTCCTCCCTAGAGATATTGTTCTGTATGTGTTTGCCCATCTGTCCAACTATCCATCCTTCCTACATCTTTTTTATCACTAAGAGCTCAAGTGACCTTCTCTGGCTTAAAAAGACCGCTTCAGAGAAGGCTGATGGCAAAATGACTGTAGTTGAGGAAAATATAGCTAAAGCCCAATGCAACCTATTTTACATAGTGCTTCTAGAATATCTTTTTTTGAGTTGTCTCCCATAGCACTGTATATTTCTAAGAATAGTTAATTTTGCCTCTCAAAATGTGCCATACTCCACAATTCTGTATGAAAAATATTTGAAAATCAGTCATCTTATCTCATTCCTTGATTATATCATTCCTAAATCACTTACAGAACTTCTTAGATTATTTCTTGGTGTCTTCTCCACCACCTTCCTCAACAAACACTCAAATTCACACTAACAAACACTTTTCTAGCTTTCTTCTTTTTTTTTTTCCCTTTGGCTTATAACAATATACAATTATTACTTTACAATTTCTGGTCATCAAGTGCCAGGTATGATGTAGCTGGATCTTTTGCTTCATTGTCTTTCACCAAACTGTAGGCAACATGTTGGTAAGGGCTGTGGTTTCATCTCCAAGTTCAACTGGCGATAGATCCACTTCTGAGCTAAAGCAGTGCTAGCTGTTGACAGTGTCTTGTCTATTGTCAGCCTGTGGGTTTGAGTTTCTGGCTAGCAATTGACTGTGGCTACCCTCTCTTTCTGATGATGTGAGCCCATTCTTAAGAACCTTGCAACATAAGAGCTTGTTTCATCAAACTAACAGGCAAGAGTTTATTAACAAGTTTCATTACAATTTTATGTAAGGTAGGCATAGAGTGACGCCTAAGCAGGTCACAGGCCCTGCCATCTCTCAAAGAGGGGCTAACATGAATTCAAAGAGTAAGATATTTGGAGGCAGTCTAAAAATTGATCTGCATTCACTGGAGAGGTTTCGCTTTCTGTCTTGATCCATATATGATCTCCTCTCTGACGGAATCAAGATAGTTTTTAAGTAAGACATAGAAGGAAAATAAAGGCTTCCCTTCTTCTTTGGAAACCACTGAAAAATAGAAAAAGGATAAAAATATGGAAAAGGATGATATGTCTTGTATAAGCTATAAAATAACTCACTATACCCAGAAAGCATTGTATACTCTGCTGTGAAGGTAAGTGGTAGTGTTCTAAGAGACCCAAAAAAGAGAAAATGCAATTCTATCAGCAAAGAACTGATAGTTTGAACTCAAAAGGACAGAGAAAGCAGACAGAATGAGGGAAGTTCTCACCAAGTGTCACCCCATCCTATGTCCCTATTTCGCTCTTTTGGAATGGGGACTTTTATGTTATGCCTGTCACATCATTTATTTCGTAAGCACTTAACTTGTCTGGTTTCACAGTTTCACAATTAGAGAGAAATTTTGCTTCAGGATGAATCATGCATCAAGTCTTCTCCATTTATGATTTAGATGATATTTTTCAGTGACTTTTGACTTTAAAATTGATGCTAGGACAAGTTAAGACTTCTAGAATGTATTATTTTGCATATGAGAAGGACATGAATTCTGCTAGGGACAGAATTCAGTGACTGAATTGTGTCTACCAAAAATTCATATGTTGAAGTTCTAGCCCTAATGGTAATGGTATTTGTAGCACAAACCTTGAGGAGATGAGGTCATGAGCGCTGGATCCTTGATGAGGGGACAGGCACACTTAGAAGAGATATGAGAGATCTTATATTTTTTTCTTTTCTTCACCTACATACACCAAGGCAGATCACAGGAAGACACTACATTAAGAGAGCAGTCATCTGAAAACTAAAGAGTCTTGTCCAAACTTCCACCAGATGGCATTTTTCTTTGAATTTCCAGTCCATAATGCCATGAAAAATAAATTCCTATTGTTGAAATCACCTATTCTATGTTATTTTCTTTATTTTTTTTAAGATTTATTTTTATACAAGAACCGGGATACAGGCCAGATGCACAGGAGGGTGAGAGGATTCACCAGAGACAGAGCAGGGAACAGAACAGGCAGACTAATGAAATACACTGCTGAGGGGAGCAGCAGGCAAGACAGGAGAGGTCTGCTGTGCCATGTGGGATTCTCACCAGCCGGCCGGGATCAAACCCGCTCTGCAGAGGCTGTGGACAGCTTCACAGTGCGGCGCTCAACCGCCTGCGCCACCAGGGAGGCCCCTATATTATTTTCTCATACTAGCTCAAGCTATAAGTAATTCAGAAACCCAAACACTAATTTTGATAATTTGTCTGCCAGATAAAGCAGGGAAAATGGCAACTGTGGCTAAACACAGAAAAAACCAACCCCATTTCACGCAAAATATAGACCAATGCTCTCCACTGTAAGATTCTCTTAAGAAAGATCTGAATCTTGTAAGCTTAATCCTAACATACTCTTACAAAGTTAGAGACAATATCTGAATCATAGTTCTATTTTTAAGTACTATGAATTAAGAAAAAAAATGTTGACCTCAATTTTTAATACTCCTCAGGGCCTGAAATGAGGATACAGAACAAAATCTCTATTTCTCCTAAAAAGAAGTTGAGCCAATAAAATAGGATACTTTATGAGCCAAAAATGTGTGGTGTCCTGAAGCTAAAGAAAATGTTGGCACATTGTGCAAAATCACAGCTGTTTCAGTCTCATTTAGTGACTGGTCCCACTCTCTGCAACCCAGTTTGTCTTTTGAAATACAGCACAGCTAGCTGTTCTGCAGGATGTGATTAAAGCCACTGACAAGGGAGGTTTTCTTTATTTTTTTAGCTCTTTGTCTCAAAAGCTTTAGAAATCTTGACAAGCACAGTTAAGAAATAGATAACTTTTTTACAAAGATGCATAGAGATTTCTTAATGTGCACATAATTATACATATTTTTATTAGCAAGCTAAATGTACTTTGGAGTCACAAAGGTAAAAAGGCAACAACCTACGATGAAAAAAATTAATGAACTAACAACCTATGTGATAGTGTTGTGCGGAAGAATTCCGCACAACATTCATTCACTTACCGTGTGTGTTTTGAAGTTGCAGAACCGCCTGCCAGCACACCTTCTGAGTCACCTCTCTGACTGCACAGTCCTACCCCAGAGACTACAGAGCTTAAAAATCAAGGAAGATGCCACATTTTCACATAAAACAACTGTGTCTGAATAAGAAAAGTGGTAAAAGTAAAATGCCTATAGACACTCTCGAGTCTTCTGACAGGGCCAAAGGAACAGTAGGAAGGATTTCAGTTCTTTTCATTAATGTCAAGAAAATCATTCCATTAGGAAAAGTTCATTTATATATGAAATTATTTTATAAAAGATGAGAGTCCGATGATAATGTCTGAAAGACCACTGGCAGTAAATTAAATTTTCATTTAATTTTATATATTAACTTTCCCCCTATTCCAAAACACTAAAACAAATGACTCGCTGGGGTACTTTGTATACCAGAGCAAAACCAACAGGTAACTGACAATCTTTAATAAGGTAAAGGATTACATGAAAATATACTCAAAGGATTTCATTCTCTGGTTGCTTAGGTGAATGGTTGTGAATGTGGACCTGATGGCAGAGGATGAAAATATTAAAGCATCACTAAAGTAAATGATCCCTCAGCTTTCATTGGTGAATAATGTATTTTGCTAAATAACCTTTCCATACCCCAAGTTTTAACCTTTGCATAAAAATAAAACTTTTAGAATATAGTAGGTGACAAACTTTCTCAATTGCATAATATCACTTCCCCTTTCTTAAATGCATTGTAGAGCAAGAATCTGAATTTGGGGACTGTAGACCTGGAAGGAGAGTTTCATAAATAAGCATCCAGGGACAAAGGCTCCTTGAAGCTACCTGCAGAATTATGTAAACAGACATTAATCTTGACATAAATGAGCTTTTCAAAGTGCTTCAGAATTTATGAAGGCTAGTGTGATTTTTGATTAATCAAGGTACTCAGTGAGCATGTTCTATTTTACCACCATTCTGGAGTATAGTCATGTCCTCAGGACATATTAAGGAGAAAAAGCCTATTTGTCCAATCACAAAAAATGACTCTAAATTGTCATGTTAAGCATAATAGTCAATAGATTACAGATAGAGTCAAAATCACTGTGAATACAATAACCTCTAGTCTAAAAGTTTATTTCTGAATATACCTCAGAAGAATTGCTTTGCTCTACTTTTTCCATTAAAGATACAGTTACAGTTCTCAATTAACCAAAAGGCTGTAAGTTATTAAGCTGTATTTCCATATTGCATAGCATAGAGCAAAATACAGCAGATTCTCAATCAACTGTGCATTAGCTATTAAAAGTTTCTTAAGAGGAGACACTTCCTTATTTATTCTACTTTCAGCTCACAAAAAAAACTGTGTCCTAAAGTTGTTAGTACACATGACTATATCTACATTAAGACCTTCAGGGTTTATTGATCTAGTGTTTCTTATTTTATTGTAGCAGATAATGAAATCTAAGGGAAAGTTTTGGATTTCTAACTTTCTAAATCGTTTTCAACACTAAAGAAAAACTAGACCAAACATTTGAGTAAATTGGGACAAGCAAATTGTCTTAATAAGTCTCATTTTCACCATCTAGAAGAATAGGTTGTTCAACAAGATACTGATCACATGGTACCATTCAGTTCTTAAATTACATAAATTTGTTTTGAAATTTTGTTAAAGTAAACTTTTCAAAAATTTAAAATCATGACTCTCATGCAAATAAAATGATATGATTCTGTGGCCAAAGTTTATTAAAGTAAACTTTTCAAAATGATAAAACCATGATTTCTATACAAATAAAAAATGAACATGTGAAACATTCTATTCAGATAATTAACAAGGGAGCCAACAAGACAGCAAACATTTTTCAAAGAGTATTTCAAAAGCTAAATATTTATGGCAATGTTAGGATAAGATTGCTAGACTAGTTATAAAACTGGTTAATGTCCAACAGGGTAATAAACTATGGTTTCTTTTCCACTAGATAGAAATGATTTGCATCTCTTTGATATAAAAATCTACAAGTCAACCTCTGCCTTACAACACTGTTAAAACGCCTATTCCAAAAAAAAAAAAATCAAAGCAATATTGCACTGAAGGAACACTCAAAGACTTCTTCTGACTATTTCCAACTTTCATATAACTTTTAGGACAAGTCAAATAATTTTTAATGAATGAAAATAATTCCTGATGAATTTTAAAGAGAAACATCTTTATCATCTTTCTTTGATCCATGTGTAGCTTCTATATATTCATACTGTTCTGTGCAGACATAAACATCAGAATTTCATGAAACTGTGTAACTGAATTTATAAGTAAGTTATTTCATTTATTGCATATAATGTAATGCATAGTTAAAGGTACAAAAGAATAAATAAGCTATTATACAAATTCAGAGATTATAAATATTTAGAGGATATCTGTTTTATGTAAGTTCCCCAAGTGCCTAATAAATTCAATAAATATGAACCCTATAAAGGAAACTTTAAACATACTTGTAAGACAAACTCAATCCAAGTAAAGGATACCAAAAATTAAATCTTACAGTTTGTGATATCTGTAAACTGATTTGCATACCACCTATAAAATGCTGTATGTCTACCAAGAGAAATTATATCACTCCTGATGCTCTCAAACACCATGCATACACAAACATAATCCAATAAAATTCTTGATTATTCAATTTTTCCATTTATTATAGATAAAAGTACCAAATCATCCTCTAACTTCTGAAAAGAAACCCATCTACAAAAAAAGCATGCTTCTTTAATTCCCAAGTTTTATTATAGATTTTTAAGATATGTATTTGCTTAAAGATATGTATCATCAGCTTAAAGAAAATAAATGACACAAGAATAAGCTTTTGTATATCTGCCATGGTAAATTGTTCTATTTTAAATTTATCAAGTTATAAATAAACCACATAATGTGCTTATGTGAACCAACCACAACATATTCTGAGTGTATCTGAAATGTATTCTCCTTGTTTCAGTGAGTGTTATTTATTAGAATTAAAAGACTGGCCTTCAGTTATTCATTATTCAAAAAATAATACAGCATGAATTATTTACTAATTATAAAACAAAATACACTGTTAGAAAGCAAAAGTGGCTAAAATAAACATGTTCTCCTGGACCATTCATTTAAAATTAAGCATTTATAAAAACTGGAGGCTCTAAGTCCCACATAGGGGAGGACAAAGCTACCAAAAGGTGTGAGACACAAAATTAATGCTTGCTTCGAAGGAACTTGGAATTTCCACCACCAACTTCACAACTATGGATAAAGATGGTATATTCTACTAAAAGCATACTAAATGCAAATGTCACCCCAATAAGACAAAGTAGAAGGCAATTTTCTAAATGTTTTTTCAATTCAGTAGTTCGTTCAAGCAAAACTTGTGTATCCAAACTCTTGGTAGGCCAGATTTTAATCATGATGCTGACTCATGAGGGAAAAGGGAGTTTTAAAAAGGCTACACACCACAGATGAAAGTGGAGACTTGGTAGGCAGCAGACTGTGCTTTTCCTTGGAAAGCACTTGGGTTAAAGGAGAGTGGACCACAGCCCCACTGTCCCAGGATCAGCTCAGCGAATAAGGGAGCTTAAAAAGGAATACTTGGATGTAAACCCAGACAAATGATGTGAGATGATCAAAGGCTCTCTCTCTTTGGTTCATCTTCTCTTGTACTTATATATTATTTTGACATTTTGCTCCTGCAGTAGTTAGATAAATTTGAATCTCTAGAATGTTCTTTCAAAAATCCTAGTCTTTATTGTAATGTCTTTAAATAGTTCAAATTTACAATGATACTGAATTACCCTTGATTAGAATACAGAAAATGGGGTGCAATTTAGTAATAATATATAGAACTGAGAAAAAAACAATATGTATTGCAAACATTCTGAAATTGTATTTTCAAACTTTCAAGGGAAGAAGAAATCTGTGTATCAGCTTTCAAATAAGGGGTAGGGTGTGTGGAGATGGGACAGTCATGATGATGTGTTCGAGATTTGAAACTTATACATGTCTGTCTCTCAGACATTATGACCTTAGCTAACTTCTGAGACATGAGGACCTAACATGTGAATACTATCTATCCACTCCCTTCCACCTAATTAAAAAAGTCATAGAGGGAGTTTTGGAGAGTTATTTGAGGCTTAAATTTGTCCACATTTACTGTTTTAATGCTAGTCATGCACTTTCACTGAGGAGAGTTTATCAGAGCCAAATTTTAATTTATTTTGTTTCATAATCTCATATTGGAGTTAGCTAGCCAATATACTTAAATCAATTAATATCTAGTCCCATTGTCAATATCTGGGCAATATCAATAAAATCAGATTAAATATAATTACATAGCACAACTTTAAAGAACTCCATTATCATTAATAAAATATATAGAAATTATAGTTTATCTTTTGTAAAAATGAAAAGAAAATTTAAAAGTATCCTTTTAAAAAGATACTCTATAAGGACAGTTTCAAATTAGAACTTCATACCATATCATTGCTTAATTTCTAAATCACTATATATAAATTGGACCAAACTTGACAAAGTAAAACTACCTAATATTCAAATTGTCAGATTTGGATGGTTGCCATATTGACAACAAAATTAAGTTATCAAAAGTGATGAAAAATGTGTTCTTGCTGCTCAGAGACAGAAATGGTGGATGATTTATATACCAGAGAATATACACCAGTAGTTTTACAAAAAACCCGAAATTTCTATTTAGAATTATTTCGGACTCTGATGCTTCTGTAGATCATGGGCTTCAGTTTTCCAATATGACGCTGTAAGTTGCCCCGGGCAGCACTGGGTCTGTCTTAATAATCAGCAACAAAAGAATGTCATGAACCACTCTCATTACTATTTGATCAAATCAGTTAAAATGGCATGAGATATGGTTATTAAAGTTGTCAGTACTTCTGATTTACACTGTTCTCGGAAACGGCATGACAAATGTCTTAATGCAGCTAGTTGGAATAACAATTGGAACCATTCTGTACTAGATGCTGGGACTCACATGACATCCTATTAAAGAAAAATATAAACAAATACTTTGAGCAGTCTGCTCAAGTTTTTGACTGTGTGTAGTGCTTAGCCCCATCATAACCTGGGTAAGCTCATTTTTTATGCATTCATCTATACTGCCTCATTTCTAAATGAACTTATGGTCTGTGTTCTTGATTTAAAAACAAAAACACATAAATATATCTAGTATTCTTGTCAGAAGAGTCTCTTGTTATTCATTCATAGGCAATACTTTGGCCCCATGGGCGTTGATATAGGTGAGAAGAATTTTGGCTCTTTGCTCTACTACATCAATTAGTTTTTCAATTCCTTGTCTACCTCCTTGACTTTCCCAATAAACTTTATCAAGAAACAGAGACTGAAGGAGTTTCTGCCTTAAGTGCTGGCTCTTCAAAATAGAAACTGCAGATTCGGGAAACCTGAAAAGATAAAAATGATATTTCATTCTAAGTAACTGCTTGAAAATATTACACTTTACCCAATTTCTCTGCTTTTCATTAATCTGGCATAAATCACACTATCAAATGGCACCTTGAGAATCAAAACATTTTTGTCACTGTCAAGCTGACACTTCTCTGAATAATAATATACTAGAAGTATATGTTTCCAGGGAACTGAATTTTCTTTACCATGAAGAATTTGACATACTAACATTTTACTTAAGGTCATTATATGTTGACAAAGAGAAGCACAGAATTAAAAAAGATGCTGTTAGCCTGGCAAAAATACATTCCTCTATCTTAAGCTCCATTTCACCTAGAGAAGCCACGTTAATCTGTCAAATTGAGTAGTATCCTCCTAAGTGTCACAGTGGGATTTTATGTAAGAAAAGATGGGAAGCAGAATGCTGACAATTTCAGTAAAGTACTCTACCTCAATAGAAGTTGCATGACTGAATTTAATGTGAAATAATCCAAAATGTGCATAGTAAAATGAGAAAAGGATCATTTCACAATGCCTAATTTAAGATAGAATTGCTTTTGATTCAGATTATATCAGGAATTCTGTGACTCTGGGAGCACTTTATTAAACTAAAATATTAAACTGTTTTCAAATAAATTTAGTAAAACTCAAGTTTCAGAGGCAGGGCATTCCACAATGAATGTCTCTGTGGAAAACCTAAGGCCAATTTAAAAGGATTCTTGCTGAATTACCTTAAGAGAGCGCACTGTGCTTTCTTCTCATCATTTAGAAAGCGTAAAGCCTAAGATCTAGGACATACATTATCTGCAGGACTCAGTAAAATTTCTGGTTCAAAATCATAACTAATGTTTTGCTGAATCTCCAATTTGGCTTCTTCTAGCTTTCATGAAAATGCTGATGAAAGCACAGTGAAAACATTGGGATTTAATAGTAATTTTCAAGTAAACTCAGTTGTTCCTTAAAAACTAAAACAAGAACATACATTTGTTTAAAGAGCACAGTTCACCAGAAGTTTCAGGCATTATAAGCACTTTTCCAATTTTCAAGCTCAACGTAACCCTCAGGAGGCATGAGTGCCAGGGGCCCCTGGGGTCTCCAGCACCTCTGATCCTGCAGAAAGACCAAAGGCCACAGACCTGGACACACTGAATGAATCTGAATAGGTATGGAATTAAATAATGCTGATAAGAAGCCCTGAGCTCCCTGAAGACATGTACTATGTAATTTAATGACTATAGAATTAAGCACTTTTTCTCTATGAAGTATTAATAACCCTTGATTTACAAATTCTATGACCCTTCAAGTTATTTAGTTGTGGCAGAATATATGAAATGAAACTGTTAAATACATGGATCTCTTAAATGACCAAGCCTTTTCATAAGGGAAAATCAAATATTACTGCTACTGCATAATGTCGATGGAGAGGTATAATATTCCATGCATAAATCTGGGTTAGCAAAGTCTTCTTTTCTGCTTTTCAGTGTGTGAATTATATAGTCAAAGAAGATTTCATTTTAAGCCCATTACTTCTCATAGTGCATTTAAAGTTAAATCTTCTTTGAAAAGTACAAATAAAAGAGTATTCATATTTATATCAGGGAATGGAATGGATGGATATTCTCCAGGAACTCTTAATTCTAAGAGGAAATTTAGTAAGTCATCACTCAATAAGTGATGCCGTAGGTATATAAATTTTCCTAATCATAAAATTTCCTTAGACACTTGGATGAATCTGCCACATATTCTGCATTTTAATTCACAAAGAGAGGAACAAGTTTTAACGGGGCAAGGCATGGCAAAAACTCATAAAACTGGCCCTCATGAAACTCACGGCAACACCTTTGTCTTCAAGTACTAAAAATGTGTAAAATCCACATTCCTTAATTGATAGTTCTTAAGTAGAACTATGGAAATGTGCTTCAGAGTATTATTAACAAGAGTGACAAACAGTAACAGCTCATGAACACTGCAAGTTACTGTGGAAAAATTTCTCAACTTAGATTTGGAAGACTAGCTTCTATCCTCAAATTTTATTTATCTGTTAACCACATTTTATTGTTGTGTCACAGGCTTACAGAAATATGTTTTCGAGCGCAACTTCACCCCTCACCAAGTACACATGCTTTACTCACCCTCTCCCTCAACCTTAGATTTGTTTGTGTGCTTTCTGGAAGTCACTTAATTTCACACAGACAGTTAGCTATTTTATTAAAATATCTCTCTACTTGTAAGTCTTAAACATGCCCCCCCTTTGCTCAGTCAGTCTGATTTCTAAGATAGAAAGACAATGAAGCAAGACCCAACACTGGTATGAGCTGGGACCCAAAAGTTAGTTTCAGTCTCCATAAGCAGAATAGGATTCCGTGCCTGGGTTCCTGCCACTATTAAGTGTCATAGTTTCCTTTATTTCCAAATGGGTGTGAGCTTAAATGGGTGCCATTAGTGAGGCCTCCCTGATATCTTGGACCATGTTGAATATAGAAATATTTCTTCCCTAACCTCCACCAACTCTCCCTTTCAGAAGATACTTTTCCCCATAACCTATGTCTATTGGCAGGTTTTTCAAATGCTAAAATATCCTCTGATTTAAATGAAACAGCCTCTGTCCTTTGATGCTGTGTTCTACTCAACAGATTGGCTCTAATTTTTCACCGCTTTCATGAGTCTCCCAAGCTGATTACAACTTGGACATCCTGCCATGTCAAAATCTGCATGTCTGTTAGCTCCCCCCATATCCTGTCCCATGCCCTCATTACACAGCCTCTGCCACCTGCTTATCTCTGCTCTGCCAATGCCTATTCCAGAGATCCCTGCATGATTCCAATTTAACCCGCATGGATTTTCATGCTGAAGGCCAAACGACATGATAAATGTGAAATGTAGCGGAAGCCTTGTAGGTGGAATGGGTTGTTGATAGTGACATCCTAGCTGGACTGTTCTGTTCTGCTTGGCTTTGTTTCACTTTTCTAGATTTCCATTCCCAGACCCATTTCCACAATTCCCTTCAAGGAATAAATCAATCAGACATAGGCTGAGTTTTCTCCAAACCTTACTACTTAATTCATGTGTGTGATGTCCTATAGATGCTATATATCACAAAACTTACTCTTTGATGCCTTCTAACAACTTGAAGTTTAAGTTATCTTCACTTCTGTCAAAGAAACCCTTGTTATCTATAAAGACCAAGTGCCTTGGGTCATGCTTTCGCTGAATGATGTGTGTTAGAGACACAGAATCTTGTTTGTCACATTTTGGCTTCAGTCCATTCTGTACACAGGCATCTTCCTTTCGAGGTCTGAATCCACAGCAATTTGTATCTAAGCGATTATAAATCTGAAAATGGAAAACAAAAACAAAATCCAAGCTGCTGAGTAAAAACAAAACTTGGGAAAGTTAGATTTCCAAAGAACTGGTGTTTTCTAAATAGCTGACTTGCCAGAATCTAATAGGGCCAGGCTCATTTAATTAAAGGCAACTGTCAGAATAAGTCCAAACTTCATAACCTTCTGACTCAGCTATGATTATAAGCATTTCCAGCTTCTGCTAATAGCTCCAAAGTCATCATCCAAGTTAGGCGTCTCCAGCCTTAACAGTCAAAGTTCCCACTGACATCACAGGTAGAAACAAGGCCAGAATTTCTAATTCTGAAGAAGTTAGAAAGTTCTATCTTCATGAAGAAGATAGAAACCATTGTATTTTTACATAGTCAGGAGGTTATGTCTTGTTTTCTCCTTCAGGTTGGCTTATAGAAAACCTGAGCTCCTGGCACTAAGCATTCATTGCATCCCCTAAACTCACTGGAACTCAGCATTACAGTATCAACCTAAAGTTGCATGAACAAATCTATTGAAATGACATGATATCAAAAAAAGAAAAAGATAAACACAAACACTACCTGTTTGGAATACACGGCTAGATTCTAAATAAGTGAGAGAATGAACCAAAATATCAAACTTATTAGAGTTTATTAAGGGAGTAGGGTTATTGCCCTATAGAAGAGGGGGAAAAAAATAACTGTTTCCATTTCTTTGGGGCAAGGACAGAAATATTTATTCATCAGGCTAGATTAAAGCATAGGCTCAGGAATCAGATAAATAAACTCAAATTTCTGCTCTCATGCTTACTGGACTTGTGACCTTGTACGGGACCCATAAATCACTTCCAGAGGAAAATGAAGTGGTCTTTAGTTTTGCCTTCTGACCATTCCAAGCTAGGCAAATGCACTTCCTCCCTGAATTCTGCATGGAAATGAACTGTGTATCTGAGAGCACACTCTGAGAAGCAGGGATTGTAAGAGAAGTAGCACAGGACAATTTTCTATGTGGTTTATATAAAACCAGTTGTTTGGGGGCAGGCGCAAGCAATGAGCCTCCAGATAATTAGACACTGCTGCTCTAAACATGATCAGCAGATCAGGGAGGCCTCTGTCAGGATTGGGCCAGGCAACTGATCCATGGTACTATAAGTCTAACCCATGGTTTATCCGCAAGGTCACATAGGCTGATCGCAGGGAAAGGTAAGTCACCACTCTTGGCTAAAGTAATTTATGTGACATGAGATAGAAAAAGTTTTCCAAAGATGAAAAAGAATGTCCCACGCAAATCACCATAGGTTAATGAAAAAAGTATGAATTGGAATCTTTTAGAAAAATTCATTGAGCCCTTTCTCCTCAAACAGTTTCATTCATGTTATATAATACTTGACCGCCTTTGTATAGAAGCAAAATCAAAAGAGACTACATCTGATTGCCAACTATTTAAGTTGAGGTCTGGGAGGTAGGGAGATAACAGGAAAAATAAAATCTCAATAAAACTTTCACCCAACCTCCCTTTTTAAATTATGCACTAGTTAATTTCAAATAGTATATCAGTTTTTCATCATTATCATGTTTGGTTTTTTTTAAAGATTTATTTATTTATTTATTTATACAAGCACTGGGTACAGTCAGAAGCGCAGGAGGGTGAGAGAATTCACCAGCGCCAGAGCGGGGAACAGAACAGGCAGACCGACGAAGTACACTGCTGAGGGGAGCAGCGGGCTCGGCAGGAATGGTCTGCATGCCATGTGGGACCCTCGCTGGCGGCTGGGGATAGAACAAGCGCTGCAGAGGCTGTAGGCAGCTTCACAGCCCAGCTCTCAACCACCTGTGCCACCAGGGAGGCCCATCATTATCATGTTTATAGCAATTTATAACAATACCCATAGGAAAAGAACCTGTTTGTTTAATTTCAAAATCTGATCTAATTTTGACAATATCAAGATCTATTATGTTAGGTAAATATGTTTAGAACTTAACCCTTAAGGACAAAATCCACCTACCACTTCTTACAAACTTCTCTGAACCCTAAACTCCCTCATTGTTGAGTTCCAGCAGTGAGGAAAGGACTAACAGATATAGCTACATTTCTACAAGTTCTACCACAAAGCTGTGAGTATAGTGTATACTAATGTTAAACAGAGTTTAGTGCCTAACTTTAAGTGCCTTTGTAAATATTATGCTTCCCTATTTTTAATCTACAAGAAAGCATTCAAAGTCAGAGGTGGAAAGACTGATTTAGGTCATCTTTTTATTGCCTTCCCACCATTAGATTGTTTCCTACAGTGTATTTTTAAAGTGCTTTGTCTGATCTAATTTTGAATCACTCAACAGTCTGTGATGATTTCACCACTACCCTGACAGACGGATGTGCCATTCAAGTCTAACAGACCTTATTGTTGAAAACGGGTGTGTGTACTCAGCTCAACTTTTCTAGAAAATGTTTACTACTCCTTTATCCAGATGTATGCATGTACTTGATGGGTGTGTTACCAGATTTTGAGTGTGTGTATGTCTGTGTGTGTACACCTATGGATACAGAATGGAACTGTAAGACTTCAGATACTATATTTTCTTCTTTTTATCTTCCAATGATAATAAATTATGCCTTTGTATGATCACCCTTGTCTAGGAAACCCTTAGGTAGCTCTTCAATCATCTTGTTCCCTAAGTCTTCTTAGAGTTATGTTTATAGTCTTTCTTTTGAATTTATATTCAATATACCAAAAAATATTTGTGCCATAACCTACTCCCTTAAATTCAGTGCTATTTTGCTTGGCACTTAATTTAGTTATATAGTGTGTATGTTTCTGCTTGCTTGTAAGAGAATTTATCTATTTTTTTAAAGCCTTGTAAAGCATATCTTAGCCATGCATCCATAATATGCCTTTAATATCTTTATTTAGTGTGTGCATTTAAATAATCATTTCATTTAACTATCACATGATTAAGCACTGCAGCTCACAGCTACGTGCCTATGTTCTTAGATAATTCTCCCACAAAGAAAACACTTTGGGGGTAAATTTTGTCAGCTAAGGGATTCTGAGTATTCATCATCACTGCAGCCTGCTCAGATGCACATTCTCTCATTCCTTAAAACAAGGAAAATCTTTTGCAAAACTGTTATTCTGCATCTGAAATTACTGCCAACCATCATTTTCCATAAAATCACTCTTTCCACTTTTAGGAAAATATATCTTTTCAATGTTTACCTAACTAAAATTATACTCAGAAAAATCCAGGTGTTCTAGCCAAAATTTTTTTGTTGGTGGGATATTTTTAAACATACTTCCTTAAAAAAGTTTTTTTTTTTTTCATACCATTTTCCTTTTGGTAGAGCTGTAGAAAAAAAATATCTTGTGAGTGACTCAAGTTATGCTCATGGAGCCTAAACAAAGAGGTCTATGTAGCATCATCTAGCTCCCCCAAATCCAGAAGAAATCCCCCGAAATCCAATGATTTCCTCTGTTCTGCATACCACCTCTGCTACATGGGCCTTTGAAAGGTATCTGTCAAAGTAATTGTGTTAGTTTCTCCATAACCTCTTTTTCCTCAAAGCAATGCAATTAAGTGAATCATTTCAGGCAATGCCTGAACAAGGCAGTAAAAACTTTTGTAGAAATGCTGCTAATATAAACAATGGAAAATATAAGTTATTTATTGAGTGTTTAGTATATACCAGGGACTGTCGACTTAATGCTTTATAAGTGTTACTTCATTTCATCCTGATAGCAATCTTAAGAGCTAGGTGCTGCCAATAATCTCACTTGATCAATGAGAAGACAGAGGCACAAAGAGGCTACTTGATCACCCCGAGGTCCATCAGCTCATAAATGACAGAATTGGGGTTCTATGCCAAACCCTTCAAAAGCCATGCCCTTATCCAGCCCGAATGTTTCTCTCAGATGTAGCCTCTGGGGTGGTACTGCAAAAAACAAGTGCATTGGTATAGGATATTGAATGACACTATACTTAATAAATACTTCATCAAAAGACAAAGAACTTCAATGGAGGAGTCCAGAGGAAAATTGTAAGAGCATCATGCCTCTAAGGGAAACATAAATATCAATGTTTCTTCAAGTTTCATTACCATTTTCTCATGTAGAGTTGGAAGAAAGGTAAAAGGCAAGTGAGCAGAGCATTAGATGAAAATGCTACAAGAAAAAACTGAAGGGAACCAAGGCCAATGTACCTGGAAGCTAAAGAAAGTAAAAGGAAGATGTTCCTCTCTAAGCCGGATTAGAAATTCCCTTTATCCAAACTCTTTTGTTATTCAATACTATGACTAAATAGTTAAATTAGTTTAAACCCTGCATATGTTTCTATTTCTGTTTTTCTACATTTCTCTATGGGTCTGAGTGTATATGTGCTATGTGTGAATGGGTGCATTTCCAGTTTGGTATGTCAATATTCTGAGGTTCTCAACATCTCAAGTTATTTGTTTTTACCATATGCAAACAAAGCCTTTATAAAGAAAATTTCATTTTTAGAGATAGTTTAGATTATGCAATAAATACATGTTGAGTGGAACTGAACAATCATTCAACGGCTAGCACAGAGTAGGCAGGGCATTTATTAAAAGAATTCCGCTGAAATTTGGTACTCACTTTGTATTTAGCTATTGAAATGGCTCCTCTAAAACACTGTCTTCTACTGGGAAGAGTCAAATAAACCCCCAAAATAATGGCATGAATCTTTAAAGAAAAGTCCGTGAAAAGGAGTAAAAACAAACAAAAAAAAAAAAAAGGAGAGGTAAATAATGAAACTGCTTATGTTTGCCCTTTGTTCTTGTTGGTCTCTTTATGTGAGTTTAATCTCACTAAACATGGACCATGAATTTTTATATCCACAGAGGCTGCCATAACACCTTGCATGTAATAGGTATTTTATAAATACTCAACAAGCAGGTGTGACAGGAATAATAATAGAGCATCCATTTCTATCATTAGTTTCTGGAAGTTCATTTGAATTCCAGCTACCTTGTTTGTTTTCAGAAAATGCCCATAGAAAAGAAGTC